GTATGTCTCTGTTTGATGATGACATTAGGATTCTCCTAGCATATGAATTGGGAGAAAACATTTGCAAACTGCACATTTGATACAGGGCTAATATGCAAAATATATAAGGAATTCATACAACTCAACAGCAAGAAAACAAGTCAATTAATAAATGTGCAAAGTATCTGAACAGACATTTTACAAAAGAAGAGACACAAATGGCTAAACGTTAGATAATACAGAAGTTCAACATCTCCACTCATCAGGGAAATGCAAATGAAAGCAACAATGAGATATCACCTCATGCTTGTTAGAATGGCTCTTATCAAAATGATGAATGATAACAAGTGTTGGTGAGGATGTAGACAAAAGGGAAACCTTGTACACTGTTGGTGGGAATGTAAATTAGTATAGCCATTTTGGAAAAAATATGGCAGTTTCCTAGAAAACTAAAAGTAGCATTACCATATAATCCAAAAATCCTACTTCTGGGTATCTGTTCAAATGAATTGAAGCCAGCATGTTGAAGAGATATCTGCATCCCCATCTTCATTTTAGCATTGTTCATAATAGTCAAGATATGGAAGCAATCTAAGTGTCTGTCAATGGATAAATGAATTTAAAAAGTGGTACATATATACAGTGAAATAACTATACAGTCTTTTAAAAAAAGGAAATTCTGTCATTAGTGACAACATGGATAGAACTGAGGAACACTGTGCTAAGTGAAATAAGCCAAAAGCAGTAAGAGAATTACAATATGATCTCACTTACATGTGAAATCTAAAAACAGTGACCTCATAGAAACAGAGTACAGAATGAGGACACAGAAGATGGAATGAGCAAACAGAAGAAGTGGACCAGAGGGTAACAAGTTTCCATTAGACTGAAGAAAGTTTTAGTGATTTATTGCACTGCATGTTGACCACACATTATAATGTATTGCATATTTCAAGATTGCTGAAACATATTTTTAATATTCTCACCACCACAAAAAATGATAAATTGGTGAGATGATGTATATATGCTTACGGTTTGAATGTCTGTCCCCTCCAAAATGCATGTTGAAACTGAATGCTTAATGTGGTAGTATTGAGAAATGGGGCCTTTAAGAGGTGATTGGATCAGGAGAGCTCTGTCCTCATGAATGGATTAATCTATTCATGGATTACTGGATTAAGGAATTCATGGATTAAAGGGTTATCATGGGAAGGGAACTAGTGGCTTTATTACAGGAAGAGAGACCTAAGCTAGCAAGATAGCATACTCATGCTACCTTGCCATGTGATACTCTATACCACCTTCGTACTCTGCAAAGTTTCCACCAACAAGAAGGCTCTCACAAGAAGTGACCCCTTAACCTTGGATTTCTCAGTCTCCATAACTGTAATAATTAAATTCATTTTCTTCATAAATTACTTAGTTTCAGGAATCCTATTACAAATCTGTTATAACAGAAAATGAACTAATACACTAATTAGTTTGATTATTTCTATGACATATGCATAGATTAAAACACCACATTGTACCCCATAAATATACATCATTACTGTCAATTTTAGAAAACAAAATGAGATATCATTACACATCTATCAGAATAGCTAAAATAAAAAACAGTGACATCAAATGTTGACAATGATGCAGATTAACTGTATTGCTCATTCACTGCTGGTGGGAATGTAAAACAGTATAGCCACTCTAGAAGCAGTCTGGCAACTTCTTTAAAAGTTTAGCTTTTAACTACTATATGATCTAGCAATTGTACTTCTAGGCTTTTATCCCTGAGAATAAAGACAATGAAGACTTACATCCACCCAAAAACCTACACACAAGTTTATAGCAGCTTTACTCATCATACTCCAAAAGTGAAAACAAGCAAGATGACCTTAAAAGGGTGAATGGCTTTTGTTTTTTATTGCATTTTAGGTTTTGGGGTACATGTGAAGAACATGCAAGACAGTTACACAGGTACACACGTGGCTGTGTGATTTGCTGCCTTCCTCCCCTTCACCCATATCTGGCATTTCTCCCCATGCTATCTCTCCCCAACTCCCCTCCCCGCTGTCCCTCCCCTATTCCCGCCAATAGACCCCAGTGTGTAGTGCTCCCTTCCCTGTTAAAAAACAATGACAACAACCTTATGCAGGCCTACCAGGGAATACTATTTAGAAATAAAAGAAAAAAACCATTGACATATGCAACAACCTGAATGAACCTCTAGATAATTATACTCCGTGGAAAAAATTAAAACCCACAATGTCAAACAACTATATGATTCCATTTTTTATAACATTCTTGAAATGTACGATTATTTTAAAAGATAGTGAACATACAGTGGATGCTATGAGTTAAGGAAGTAGAGGAAGCAGTGGCAGCGAAGTCAGTGTGGCTATAAAAGGCCAATATGTGGTATTCTAGTGGTGACAGAGTGTTCTGTCAGACTGTTCAACAACTGAGCACTGATTATTGTGATGATTATTTTACAGATGAGGCAACTGAGACTCAGATGAGTTAAGTCCCAGACCTAAAGTCGCACAGGTAGTAAGCAACATAACTGGAATTCAATTTCAGGTGTATCTTCTTATTCCAGGATTCATGCTCCTTTTTTACACCACTGATTAACATCGTTAACCAAACGAATTTCTTCCAAACATTTAATTTTTCCCCTTCTCAAATACTATGGGATGGAGCAGCTGCAAAAGCATGTAAGTGTATATTTCATATAACATCACAGCAGTTTTAAACATTCATATGCAGAACCAAAAGGTAATGTGAAGTGGAACCTTGCTCCAGAATCCCTGCACCTTGCTGTTAGGAAGTTTCTGGGTGGGGTTAGAGTATCTCTCAGGTACCCAGGCTCAGATTTTAGGCAAATAGCTATAACCTGTCTGATTGGGTAAGTTGATTTACACGGACCACATCTACCAATTTCATTTAGGCAAAGTGTGTAATGTAGCACTTCATAAGTATGAGAAAACACAGAACCAATTAAAGATGCATTTATAAAATCCTCTACCATTCTCTTTAAGGTAAAAAAAAAATGCTTCATTTTAAGAGTCCATATGCAAAGAATTGTATGAATAGTTTATAATAAAGAGTGGCATGAAGCTTAAGTCTGTAATCATTGTAAAAGAAACTTCCCATTTCAGGTGGCCAACTGGTAAAAACAGGCTGCTGTCTTTAAAGCTCTATGTTGGTCTCTGGGGATGCATCAAAAGAAATAAATGTTCCCTGCAGACAGCAACAGGCTGATGAACCACTGCCTACACCTAAGAGGCCACCCACGTTACAGGAATACTAAGAGCACTTTTAAACAACTATTTGCAAGCATGGAAAGTCTAAAACACAATCATAGGTGATCATAGGCTACCTAGTACAAGTCTTCTAATTCATTTTGCACCCTTTCCCATTCCAGCTGCACTTTTCATTCATAACCCTCCTACACTGAGATGTTTCCATGAAGCCCTGTATTCCCAGATTGGTTAATTCATAGACTCTCATGGCTGCAAAGATCCTTGGTCCAACACTCTCACGCTACAAATGAGAGTTCCACTCCTTGGCCAAATTATCCGCTGCCACGGCACTGTCACACTCTGCTTGGAATCTTCCAGGGCTTCCCACCACTGACTCCCCATCTTGCTTCCCCACCCTAGAATCCTGGCTTCCTTATTAATCCCTACATCCTAGGCAAACCAAACTATTCATTATTCTTCACACTCAGAGTTTTGTTTTGTTTTTGTTAATACTGAAACTTCTACCTGGAATGCCCATTTCCAAGTGTCCCAAATGACTCAAAAAATTTTAAAATCCAGGTCAGATGCCAACTCTTGCCCTTCCCTCCTCCACTCCCCAGGTCGGATTGTCTCCCTCCAATCCGCCTTCTTTTGAGTGTCCACAAGCATTGTATCTAATGGCCCGGCCACTTCCTACACCTGCCTCAGCTACTGGTGTCTGGGGAATTGTCTCTTGTGGGGCAATTCCCCAGACACCAGTAGCTGATAATTATACTAATATATATGGAGGGCTGCTTCTTGTTTTTCTCTATACCACGTGTCCAATATTTTGGCTTCCCTGGGCCGCACTGGAAGAATTGTCTTGGGCCACACATAAAATACACTAACACTAATGACAGCTGATGAGAAAAACAAAGCACAAAAATAAAATCGCATAATGTTTTCAGAACATTTACAAATTTGTGTTGGGCCGCATTCAAAGCTGTCCTGGGCAGCACGCAGCTGATGGGCCACGGGTTGAACAAGCTTGGTCTATATACCTTCAGTCTCTGGTGTAGTGCCTGGCACAAATAACTGCGGAGCAAATGTTCACTGAATGAAGGAATAAGGAACCCAAGCCCCGAGAAAACAATGAATTACTTTTTCCAGCACAAGTCATAGTAATAGTCCTGAATGCCAAGGGAATCTCACCCTCCAAGTTTCCAAAATCTAATATAATAATAGTTACTTGTACTATTACTCGTGTTCACTTCGGTGAGGACAGTAGGTTTAAAAAGCCTTAAGCAGGCCGGACGTGGTGGCTCAAGCCTATAATCCCAGCACTTTGGGAGGCCGAGGCAGGTGGATCACGAGGTCAAGAGATCGAGACCGTCCTAGCCAACATGGTGAAACCCCGTCTCTACTAAAAATACAAAAATTAGCTGGGTGTGGTGGCATGCACCTGTAGCCCCAGCTACTCGGGAGGCTGAGGCAGGAGAATTGCTTGAACCCGGGAGGCGGAGGCTGCAGAGAGCCGAGATTGTGCCACTGCACTCCAGCCTGGCGCCTGGCGAGAAAGTGAGGCTCTGTCTCAAAAAAAAAAAAAAAAAAAGCCTTACTTAGATTGGGTTTCTAGTCCCAGCTCTGCCACTTAACAGCTGTGTGACCTAGGGAAGCAAGCCCCTTGCCTTGTAGGCTCAGTTCCCCAGTTTGTGAAAAAGAGCAGATTGGATTAAATTTGTTGTTCTCTAAACATTTCAACTTTTCCCGCTTGCCAGTTGGTTGCCGGGGCGCCTCCGCCCAGCACACCTCACTCTTAAGCCGGTGTCTTCTCGCACCAGGAGGCTGCTGCGTGTGTCCTGAGGTGTCCCTTGGCCTCGCAGCTGTCCACTCTGCCGCTGGCGGCCGCGGGACGACTCCAAGTGCACCCGGGAGAGACCCGGGAGGCCGGCGCCGGCCACCACTCAGGGCCATCCTCCAGGGCCAACGCCAGCACCAGCGACGCCACGCGGAAACTGGCCCGGCCGCCCCCCCGCGGCTGTGGGACGCCCGCACGCCCCGGCGCTGACGCGCGGGTCCCGGCGTCTGGGCGCTGCCCAGCCTGCACGAAGCTCCGACCATCGGGGAGTCGCCCGCTCCGCCCTGGGGGCGGGTCTCGGTCGCCCCAAGCCGCGCTACGCCCTGGGCCCAGCTTAGAGAGCCCGTCTAGGGCCTACCCTTCCGTGCTCCCCGACGCAGCCGCCTCCGCGCGCGCACGCACGCAGCGCACACGCTCAAGCGCCTACGGTCCCACGCAGCGCCTGCTGACCAACTACGCCGCCCCCGGCCCCGCACTGGCGTCGTAGACGTTCCCGCAGCCAACTTTTAAGGGACCAGACGCTGTGTTACGCGCTGCGGTTATAAAGCTAATCGGTTTTGTTGAGCTCACGAATGTCCAGGTACACCCATCATGAATACACCCGCTCTAATAGCTCAACACAAATTCCCTAGGACCCAAGGGATCACTGTTACCTGCACCCCAAGAAAGCTTCTCGGTCTTTCAGTCAACAAAGTTGGGGAGGAAGGACTGGCCCTAAAACACCCTCACTGCTTTTACACACACACACACACACACACACCTCACTGCTTTTACACACGCACGCAGGCAGGCCAGATCTGTGAGTTTAAAAATAAAGCGGGGGCAGGGAGAGTATCCTTTTTCTCACTGCTAAATAAAGAGAGGCCAGGAATACTAACCAGCTAAATAAGGAACTCTTGGAAGACAAAGTGATCTTTATGGAGCACTGCACAGGATTTTACTTCCACCTAGGCGTAACTTAGATTTTTACTCTGATGTAAATGGAATCGCAGCTAACAGGATTTCTTTCCCCCATTTATTTCAAGGCTAAAATATCTCGGATTTTATGTGTTTTGTCATAATGGGATGCCAACTACCTAAATATGCAACTGTTTTTCATAAAGCTATTGGGTTGTGTTATGAAGGTGAATCAGTGATCTGAAATTCTGGGGCTGGATTGGCACCTTTGGAAACAGTACAGAGAAGAACATTGAAAACAGGTAATTATTGGCAAAGTGGAAACTAGAACATTTGAGAGATTGTAGCTTTTTGTGCATTAATATTTTTCTTACATGTTTCTTACTTAATATATATTCAGTTATAAACTGAATCAGATATGCCTTTCAGTACCCTTTTAATATCTCAAAGAGAAAGCCATAAACATGCATTTGCTTTATGTTTCTCAACTATTTCAATTGAGTCATCACTGTAGAAAGTGGTTCATGATTTTATACAGGAGAGTTATTGTGAGCATTTATAAAGCAATCCTGCTTATGAGCTAAACTTATTGTGTTTGCTAGGTTAATCTGTTTTCTCTAATCAAACACTTAATCATCCAGTCTCCTCCCTGCGTTATGGATTCATGAATGTGAAGTGAGGAGAGTTGCTCAGTCAAGGTAAAATGATAAATTATCTTTTCATTTTCAGGGTATTTGTGATTAAATGCTTCATAATAGAATTGAAATGAAATAAATCTTGGAATTTTACTTCTGGATTCCTGCCAGGTATAGATAAAATGCATTTGGTTAAGAGCAAATTCAATTCCATGCCTGAATGGAATATATAGGAGAAATGTGGAAAGCATTGTAGGTCAGGAGAGCCCTGAGTTCTCTCTTCATTTCTATGAATTGGAGAGAGAGTTGATCAACTGGTGGTACTCTATGGATGAGCAGCAGATAATTAAAATTTCCATTTAGAAAGAATGAGGACTTAGTTTTGGACAGTAAAAGGCAAAGTGTGTTTGAATCTAGATTTGTAATCTGGGACCTCAGGAGCTCTGATTGAAGCAGATGTTGAATTACAATTAAATAAACAGTTCCTATTATTTTGGCCATTGTAAGTGAAGCCCTGTGTGGCTGGCTTTCTCTGCTGCCGCCTAATTACGTTGTAAGAGTTGAAACATATTGAAATAAGCATAATGGAGATGAACTCATTTGTTGTCCTCTTTGTTGTTAAGTGAATAAAGTTCACATTCCAGAAGAAGCCCGACAAGGTAACAAAAAAAATCACAATTTCCCTTTTAACACATGGAAACTAGAATCGATTGGCATTGTGTGCTATTAGACAGAAGTCTCAAACAACCCTTTATGTTTTGTGCATTGATTCTGTTATCTCATTTGATCCTCACAGCAAACTTGTGACTCCTCGGTCCTGGCAGTTGATGTGAGGCCTGAGATGTGGATCTCTGTACTTTAGGCTTCCTGGGGTAAAATTGAAGTCCGGCCTCTTAGGCAAAAGCCCGGCCTCTTAGGCAAAAGCTCTTCCTCTACCCAGACTCCCTCTTTTATCAGGCAGCAAAAGGAAAGCCTTTTTTTTTTTTTTTTTTTTGTAAGTTTTAAAAACCACAGAAATAAAAGAGCTGCACAAATAACTAAATATTTGCCAAGATAGTGCGGACATGATTGGCTACATGAGTTAGTATCCAGGAGTTGAGACAATCATTCCAGTAGTTCCAGTCCCAGCCCCCAAAATCTATGCTGTTAAAGTAAAAGCTTTTTTCTTAACTTGAATGTCCAGGTCACCTGTCTGCTCAGACTGGCTATTTTTCTGTACGAATTGCTCAACGCTCTAATTCAATCTGTTTTGTATATTTGTGGTCAATATCATTGGAACTAAAAATCTGTTTGCTTACAGATAGTTCATGTAGTGCACATTCAAGCTAGGTCATGTATCTGCGACTGCTTACAGACATTTCATGTAGTGCACATTCAAGCTAGGTAATGTCTCTGCAACTGATGTTTCTTGATGATTATATTCATTTGAAATGACTAAGCTTGGTAAATTAGGCTAAGACAATTTACCAAGCTTAGTCATTTCAAATGAATATAATTTACCAAGACTGTGGAGCAGTCAAGGGACAAATGAAGAAAAGAAGAATGTCATGGAGGCTACATCAGAAACAAATAAATCTATCAGCATATGGCAAGGCAGGAAGGACAGGGATATGTCTTCCATAGAAGAAGTTGCCTGCGTTCTTCTCAGAAAAAAGGGCAATGGAAAGCAGTGAGTCACGAGTCTTGGGTTCTGAACCTGGTTCTACCATTTGCTAGCTGTATGACAACAGGCATGTTTCTTAAACCTCTGAGCCTCATCTTATACATGAAACAGGAAAAATAATAATGTAGCCTGCCATCTTTACAGATTTGTGAAAAAGCCTTTTAAATATATAAAACATTTAGTATATATAAGAAAGATAAATTTAAGTTATGGGCATGACACAAAAATATACTTGAAAATTATTCTTAAATTTCACCATATTTAGGAAGAGATGGCTAAATATAAACATAATATTCCTACTTCTGCATGTCCTGTTTGTCTCATTGCAGTTGAAATTCAGAGCAAGCTGTCTTATTAATTGTAACAGTTAAATAGTGTATATTTCTGTTATATTGACGATATAGTTAAACCTTTATTATCTTTTTTTGGTCTAATAAATAAGTGCATGACTAAAGACAGGACACAAATATCAATGATTTCAGAGATTTTGCCCCAAGGGAAAATCATACAATGCGTTTGGAAAAAGGTAATTCTGACTTGTCCTCTACAAAATGCTTAATTTCTGCCCCAAATCTTAAAGCACAAGTGTTTACAGGATTTTGGTGACAAGAAAAGTGATAGTAAATGTGCTTTAGCACTAAAATTCATGTATCCATGGAAACCTGTGAAGTTCTGAAAGCACACACGCACAGCCTACAGTATTTATTGAAGAGCTAAGGCAACAATCAGTGGGTTACTATGCTGTGAAAAGCCGACAGATTGCTGGGAGCTGCTCTGCACAGGCATGGGTGAGGTTGTTTTCCCCTGCTAAAAGTAATTACAGAGAAATTCAGAAATCTCAGACATTATTAAGACAAAAACCTGTTTATTTATTTATATGTACTTGTACCTTTCAGAATCATGTCCTTAAATCAGATTTTTAATCAGAAAAGCTTTGAAAAGTCATCAGCATTTCCCCTTCCCACACATTTGTAGCCATGGTCAAAAACTCTCTAGATTTTCCGTGCGTGCAACATTTCTTAAATGTTGGAAGAGAATGCCCCAGTTTTTGCCAAACTGATTATTCCTGGATATTTAAATATGTTCTTATTAGTGTTTCCGAATGTATAATGACTTTGAGAGCAAAGAGCATAACGATATTTGGGGGAAATAATTGCCTGCAAATATCTGAAGTGTTTATTTAACCAAAAACTGATACTCTAATAAAATAAAGAAGTATGCTATTTCATAAAGGCATATTCATACAGCATTCTTTTATTAAAACATACTCTCATTTACTCCTTACGTAAATCTCAATGAGTATTGTCATGCCCATGTTCTCTTCCATTGCCAAGCCCTGGATTCTTTCTCAAATCTTGTTCTGAATTTTAATAACTTGGAAATGATCTGTGTTTGGGTTGAAATACATTGAAACAGAGGTAAAATTATTGAGTTCTTAAGAATACTTCATGTTTTATCCCCAGTTTTCCTTTAAGTTTAGTCTTCTAAAGGTGAGCTGTTCAATATGATACCCATTAGCCACATGTGATTACTAAACACTTGAAATGTGGCTAGAGGCTCACATGAGATAATATTACAATATAATGGCTTAAATACTAAACCAATTGGTTTAAATACTAAATGCTAATTTTGCCTGTTTAAAAACATTGTTTTAATATGCTTACTAAAATATTTTTTAAAATATATGTGGCTAGCATTATATTTCTATTGGACAGAGCTGCTATTGTCCAGAGCTTTCAATAGGGGTCTCTTTTTTTAAATCATTTAGTATATGCCAGACTTTCTCAGTCTTGCTACTGACTTGCCATACTTTTCACCAGAATAATGAGATTGGTTCACACTGATTGTTTTCACCTGAAAGAAGTGCTTTAAATTCTCTTCTCTTTATGGAACAGGTTTCTCTTCTTTTCTCCCATGCAAAATCCAAGTGGCAAAATCTAATGCCCCTTGGATCCGTGGCAAAATCGAGGTACGCAAATCAACCTCCTTTGTTTTCTTGTTTGTTTTTGTTTGTTTTTAGCTCTCGGGGCCTCAATATTTTATTCTAATGTATTTTAATAATTAAGTAAATGATGTAGATAAACCCTTGTACAAGAGTTTGCAATGATCCAGGACTCTGGTGATTTAGTTTAAACTCATAAGACTGGGGGAAAAAAAGAGAGCACATGAAAAAATAATAGTTAGCTTCCAGTTATATTAGGAATACTTTCACCTGAAAGTAAGAGAAGACCACATAATAGTAGTTTAAACAACAGGGGTTTATTTTTCTCAGATATGAAGAAGTCTGAAGATAGGCCCTTGCTGGATTGATGCATTGCATCCAATCACTCAGAAAAAACTTGATGGTTTAACCTTTAAAATATACCTAGAATCTAACCTCTTTTCCTGCCTTCATCACTTCCACCTGTGTCCAGAAATGCTTCTTTTTATAACATTTTCCTAGCTTGTCTGTCTGTTTTCTTCCTTGTTCTCATTTGATGTTTTCTAAATCCAGCAGCCAGAAAGGTTCTGTTAACATTTTATAGCATGGGCCAGGTGCTGTGTTTCATACCTGTAATCCCAGCACTTTGGGAGGCCAAGGCAGGTGGATCACCTGAGATCAGAAGTTTGAGACCAGCCTGACCAACATGGTGAAACCCTGTTTCTACTAAATATGAAAAATTAGCCAAGTATGGTGGTGCATGCCTTCAATCCCAGCTACTCAGGAGGCTGAGGCAAGAGAATTGCTTGAACCCAGGAGGCGATGTTGCGGTGAGCCGAGATTGTGCCATTGCACTCCATCCTGGGCAACAGGAACAGAACTCCATCTCAAAAAAACAAAAGTATAGCATGTTGCTGCCCTGCTCAAAATCTTCCAATAATTTCTTACATCTTTCAAAATAAAATGTAAAATCATTACTGTAGCTTCCAGTTCTCTAGAAGATCTGGACCTTGGTGAACTCTCTAATCTCACTCCCTTCACTTTTCTGTTGTTCACTCAGTTCTAGCCACTCTGATCTTCTTGCTACTTTTTGAATAGCTGAGCCACACCTTCCATCAGGGTCTTTGCAGATGCTGTATCCTTTTCCTGGAGCACTCTGCCCACCTCGCCAATATCTGCATGATTTACTCTCTCATTTTCTTAATGTCTCTCAAATGTGATTTTATCAGTTAGACATTCCTTTATAAACCTGTGTAAAATATCACCCCATGACTCTTCAGCTCCCTTATCCTGCTTCATTGTTTTAACCATAGCTCTAACCTCTACCTGATGCATATTTATTATTGGCTCTCTTGCTCTCTATTAAAATATAAGCTCCCTGAAAACAGGGACATTGTTTTTACATTTGAATTCCGAGCACTAATGCAGTGTGTGGAATGTAATAAGCATCCAATAACTAGTTGTTGAATGAATACTTCAGCACCTGGATGGTATCAAGTGCCTCCATCAGTGTCCCGTGACCTTCTCCTCCTTGCTTTCAGATGGAAGAAGCTCTTCTGTTCTATTGTACAGTAGGGCAATATGGTTAACAATATTGTATTATATTTTAAAAGTATATTTTAAATATTTTTTAAAATGTATTTTTTAGATGGCTAGAAAAGAGAATTTTGAATGTTCATATCACAAAGAAATGATAAATTACCTGATTTGATTATTGTACAATATATACATGTATTGAAACATCATACTTTCTCCCATAAATATGTACAGTTATTGTGTGTCAATCAAAAACAAAAAAAAATGTTTTTTAAAGAACTGGATCAAGGGCTACCTCTATTTGCAAGAGAGGTTGGGAAAGTATTTTTCTAAACTGTAGAGAAGGAGACAGACAAGCTGAAAGAGTATGATTAATAAAAGCATCATCCCAATAAAATGCCATGATTAGGACACCTTGTACATACCACATGGTTGATTAGAGATTTGGTAAACCATGAGATTTAAAGGCACTCAACTGAATGCTTTCACTGTAGATTGCTCCTGTTTTTTTTCTACCTTTTACGTCCTGAAAATGTAACCATTTATATGACTTATTTTTCCAATTTAATTACTATTTTGTTAAAGGAAAACGTTTTCAAATAATTATGTGGAAAAATTATGTATATAATTTTAATTAGGGAAGGTTGATAGAAGGGTATATCAGATAGAAGAAAGATGAGGAAAAATGGCCAAAGGCATGCATACTTCAGATTGGGACAGAAGGAGAAAGCTGAGAGATGTTTGGCTGAGAGAGCAGTGCAGGTGTGTGGGTAGGAGTGGGGTTGGGAGTGAGAGCAGGCCAGAGGACGTACTGTCATACTTCATTTTATATACCAATTTATGATTTGCAAAAGTGCCAAGACTTGGTTTTTATGTAACATTTGTAAATCAGACACTCAGAGTGTTACCTAGTGATTTATTTTTCCTTTTGAATAATTTACAAAAGCTTGATTCTTGGCAGGTTGATGGTGTGGCCCACAACAGTGTCCTCAAAGTTCTAAGGGAATCTAGAAAAGACACTAGGGTTTAGAGGCCCAAATAGGCTCCCTTCTTCATGTCTTCCATGAGCTATCCACAGCCTAACACCTTAATCACGAGTGAAGACATCTATTTCAGGCTTGACCTGTGGGTTGCTAGGCAAAAAAACAACCTGTTCAGGACTCCAGGGTAGAGAGAGAGGAAGCAAAGAGACCCTCCTACCTTTTCATTTCAAATATTTTGTGTCCTATTATTCCAATTTTCTGGCACAAAAGAAAGTAATAACTCAGAATCCCAGAGTCCTAGAGTCAGAAGATGCGAAACCTGGGACCTCAAGACATGGATGCTTGCACTGCCCGACCGTCAGGTAAACTCTGCATTGTGTGAGCACATAGATACTGTGTAATGCTACTGTTTTATTCTGTGACTATTTAAAGTGAAAAGAGAGCTTTCACATTTTGTAGTGACATCCATGATGACATATGAGGCAACCACTTTATTTTATTTTTTGAACTTTTCCTTTTGTTTTTTTAACTATACTTTAAGTTCCAGGATACATGTACAGATTGTGCAAGATTGTTACATAGATATACACATGCCATGGTGGTTTGCTGTATCCATTCCCCTGTCACCTACATTAGGCATTTCTCCTAATGTTATCCTTCCCCAATCCCCCAACCCCCTGTTCTCCCTCCCTTATCCCCTACACCCTCCAGCAGTCCCCAGTGTGTGACGTTCCTCTCCCTGTGTCCATGTGTTCTCACTGTTCCACACCCACTTATGAGTGAGAACATGCGGTGTTTGGTTTTCTGTTCTTGTGTCAGTTTGCTGAGAATGATGGTTTCCAGCTTCATCCATGTCCCTGCAAAGGACATGAACTCATCCTTTTATAGAGGCAGCCATTTAAAAATGAATTATATTTGAATAATTAGTCACTCAGCTATCTTTTGCAAAAAAGCATGAATGAGAAACAGGTGAGACAGGATTAATTAAAATCACCACTGGCTGTGAAATCCTTTGTCGAATGCAGCATCTGGGATAGGACACAGGCCTGTTGCCCCAAGTTTACATATAATGCATCGTAGTATTGAGTTGGCAGGTTCTCTAATCCCTTAGAAAATGGCTTCCAGTTCTTTCTGTTAAACTATTAAAAAGGAAGAAGAACTTGACAGTGAAAAGTGAACCCATTTCCCTTGAGATAATTTGATTTTCAACCAAATTATTGTACTTGCCATGGATGAACTCTTGACTGGGGTGTGCCCAGAGCAGTGAGCAGGACTGACTGCCTGGTTTTAATTCCAGCTTGGCCATGTGTAGACGTGTGATGTAGGCAGATTACTTAACCTCTCTGTTCTCCTATTTTCCCACCACCTCCTACGAATTCCTACACCTCTTTAGGGTAATGTGAGGAGTAAACACCTTAGTAAATAATAAATACTTAGAATAATGCCTGGAAAATACTATGTAAGTGTTAGCTATTATTGTTTCTACCAGAAGTAGATATGTGGTCAATGGGTGGAAACGTGGAAGAATTTGGTGGAACTAACTCTTCGACAAAGTAGATTTAAGGACATAGGGAGAACAAATATTTCATTTCTAAGGAAAAAAGAATTGCAACCCTATTAATAAGTTGTAGCATGATATTTATTTCAAAAGATATAAAAGACATTGCCTTGTATAATATGGATCACAGCTGTCCATTTCTCTCTGGCTCCAACTGTACGTCAAACTTGATTCTTCACTGAAATGGCTGAAAAATTTAGCCAGAAACTAACCATTAGATTAAACAAAACAAAACAAAAAAAAAAACAGAGAGAGACAGAAACCAAGTGACCTTTTCTCTGCCCGAACATTGATTCCATTAGGACTGTAGAGCCAGTTGAACCAGTGCCCTCTAGGCTGGCTAGAGCAGCCTCCTCTCTCTCTCTCTTTTATTTCTTTCTTTTTTTTTTTTTTTTTTTTTCAGTTAATGAATTTTTACTCTTCCTAGGGCTGCCCCAAGCTCAGTTTCTTAATGTTAAACTTGAATAGTGATGCCATTCCCTGTGGCTTATTGTTATAAGAAATGTCAAGAATCCTTGGGTTACTGATACTCAGTCTCTGCCTATTCTAGCTGACACTTGGAAGCTTAGAAGCCAGAGCCTGAAATTTGTATGTAAAGCACAGTGAGGTTATTGGAGGCAAATTGGCCTGTGATGAACCTAAAGGCAAAGCCATGCCTGGATGTGCTGTGGCTCCATGGCCTGGCTGCAGCACAGCAGCCTCCCCGTGTTTGCATGAGGGACTTTGCAGCGCGCCCCTGGACTCTGGATCAGTTTTAATGACTGTCTAATGGAATTAACATGGTGTCTCATGAATATGCAGGTTGGCCATTTGAGATAACTCCTGGGCTGGTTGGAAATAGTATCAGTAGCTCCAGAGTGCCTGAAAACTACTGAAAAAAAATACGTAAAAGAATAGAAGCAAGTTTAAGGGAGAGGAAATATAAAAAAAGGAAAAGAAAAAAGCCCCACTACAGCAAAGTGTTTATTGTCCTGCTGAGTTACCTTTCCTGCCCACCCCATACCACCCAGCCCATTTCAACCTCCACCAGACCACCAGAAGTTTCCAACACTGATCTGATCATGTTACTCCTCTGATTAAACCCTTCTCTAACACCTACAAGATGAAGTATAAATTTCTCAGGCCTTCATTTTGGCCTGCATATCAGATGCCATTATACCTTGCAGGCTTCATCTCCCACTTCCACCTCCCTGTCTGACCCAACCAGCCCCAGCCCCTATACCATATGTTCTAGCCAAATTGAACTACTTAAAATTCCCTGAGCATGACAGATGGCATCTTGTCTCCATGTTCATTATGCCCTTATACCTCCTGTTTCAATGGTAAATGCTCCTAGATTTCAAGGCCTACTTCAGACCACTCCAAAAATGAAGCAGCATTTCCCCCTTCTTTTTTCTCATCGTGTTTCTTTCATAACTTTCGAAAATAATGTTTATCATAGATGCTTTTCTCTTTCCTCTGGTAGACCGTGGACTCCTCAGTATCAAGCCTGGATATTATTCACCTTTGTGTCCATAATACCTAACTTGGGACTGCAGGTGTATGCAGTTATAGAGAAATGAAAAAATGAACAAGCTTGCCTCTCTTTCATTTTCTATCTCCCTTTATTATTGTTCTCACCAAGGAGTCATTTTGCTAATCACAAGTGGCAGTCCTCACTACTCTGATACTGCATCCCTGCAAGACCTCAGATATAAATGAAAGTAAGGTACATCTCAGTGACCCCTCAAGAGTAAGTGAAGGATGATCTATGGAAGCTCCTAACACAAAATTATACACTTATAAAAACAGCTGCCCTGCCTCACCTGCTATCATCAGTGCTGTTCCAGAAGCTGCTAGCAAATTCAGCTTTCTGTTAACTCAGAAGCTATTCAGCAACCTCCCTGCTGATTTGCTTTCTGGTGGGGCTGAATAGAAACCAGCTCATAGTCAGAAGGCCTGAATTCTGGTCTTGGCTCTGTGGTTGAAATTCATATGACTTCCTGTAAGAACTGAGTCTGTTTCCTCGTGTGCAAAATATGAAAATATAATCCTTTTCTCCTGCTCTGCTAAACTTACTGGCTACTTACGAAATTCAGAGGATGTAGAGAACTTGAAATCACTTTATGAAATAGAAAATTTACCAGAGGGGTAGAGGGTTATAATATAATACTGTTTACATCTTAACTCTGCCTGTCTGTTTTCCTCAGGAAGATCAAATTAAATACAATGCCTGAAATATAGGCATTATTCAGCAATATCAAGGTAAGTACAATACCTGAGACATTTTAATAATGCAGGTGAAAGATCAACCTCTACCACCCGTAACCTGGAACCTTTCCTACACTGTCCCTATTCAAAGCACATTGACCAGTTCTCATCATTGGTAGCATTTATTTGTGAGGCCACATGTGTAGACTCAGTTTAGCTACATGGGACCTGGGCATTGACTACAAGGCAAATAAAAGCCATGTCTACAAATATCTGTGCACCTATCAGAGAGGTGACTAACTAACCTGCATGGACAATCCTGGTTATATCCTTTGAGCAATGGTGTGGCTCTATGTTATTAGACATACAAAAGAACATATAGTCTTACTCTGCTTGGAACAGAATGATAAATCTATTTTGGCTGAAGTCTTTAAAAGCTTTTGGTATGAATAACAGGAAAAGCTGCTGTAGAGAGTGATAACAGCTAACTCCTACAGAATGGTCACTTCTAGGCAGAATTATTTTTTTTAAATAAATATGTATATTTTTTTAATGTATATATACATTAATGTATACACACACACACACACACATATATACACACACACACATTAATGCATTTTAGGTTCTGGGGTACATGTGAAGAACATGCAGGATTGTTGCTAAGAATTGTCCTGCATTCTCTTAACCCATACCAATGCTTTGAGTCAGGTTCTCTTGATAGCTGTATTTTACAGTTGAGAAAAATGAAGTCACAATGTTTGACTGTGTAGAGCCTGACTCCACAACCTGGATGCTTAACTCAGTCAGGTCTGGACCTTTGTGAGGTCCACTGGCAGCTAAAATTTCTCTTAGGATTGTTGAGAGAGATATTTAGGTATAAAGTGTCAGGTATACATTTTACTCTGCATGGTTCCTCTGTACACTCAGCTTCAATAGATTGAGGTGGGAGGAAGCAGGGGTATGGATGATTACTTTTCACATTGTTTTTTCAGTGGCTAATTGTCCAAAGAAAAGGCTTTCTCTGCTTCTTTTTCCACTTTTACTTGAACTGGCAAGATGCATATCTGAAGCTTACATTTACCAGCCTCCTCTAATGCTATGTGTGACTATGTGACTATGTTTTAAGCAATAAGATAAAAATGGAAGCATTACCATAGAATAATTTTATGGTATTGAAATAGGAGAGTTCCCTGATTTTCTCTCACAGGACATGCAATGGGGCTGTGGCTCGCCTGTTTGGGTTATCCCACAGCTCAAACACCTAGGATGCAGAAGGGCAAGTACAGAGGCTGGGATAAGTGCTTTGGGCTCTTGGCCCTGCTGTAGTGTCTAGGGGTGGGTGCTGCAACCCTAGTGTTACAAAGCTCTTTCAGCTTTGCTATCTTCAGACAGCTTGAGTGTTAATCAGCTCAGTGGACCATCTGCCTTGTTGTAAGGGCAAAGAGCCAGTGTGACAGGCTTCTGTGTTGTGAGCTCTTGCCCAATGTCCCAGAAGAATCAGGTCACACACAGGCTCAAAGGATAAGTGTAATGTTTCATTGAGCGGTGGAGGTGGCTCTCAGTGAGAGAGATGGGGAGCCGGCAGTGGGGATGGAGTGGGATAGTGATCTTCCCCTGGAGTCAGGACGGACACCCAGCAGCTGGACTCTTCTCCAGCCACCCCCAGCTGAACTCCTCTTGGTGTCCTCTTCTCTCTCTTCCACATCGTTCTGCCATTGCTGGTCTACTGATCTGTTGGTCTGCACTGGAGCTAGGGTTTGGAGTTTATATGGGGGCAGGATAAGGGGTGTGGCAGGCCAAAAGGCAACTTTTTGGGCATGAATACAGAAATATCTGTTCTCATTTAGGGCTGCAGGTATTCAGGCTTGAGAGTGGGGCCTTTGCAGGGAAACTGCCCTCTTCCACCCAGTATTTCCCTGTCTCCTGTCTGTATCAGTATTTACAGAAAAGGGAGTTAACACAGCTGGGAGGCACATTCTTCTTTCTCGCTGCTTATTCATTTCTGTTACATGACATACAAACATGAAGACAGAGCTCTGGTAGTTATATTGGACCATGAAGTGACCTTGAGAATAGAAAACATATGCAGAGAGACAGAAGGAGCCTGAGTTCCCAATTATTGTTTTGGAGCATTCATGTAAGCACTGCTACCTACTTTACCTTATTTTATGCTAGAAGAATAAATCCTGAGAGTTTAAGTAAATGCTATTTTGTTTTTCCTCTTATAGGCAACTACAACTAATCCTAATTGATATGAAGATTACCTGGCTTTGCCTCTGTTTCATAGACATTTCACTGTGGATTCGCATTTCAGCTACAGGGAAGCTGCAAAATTAATCCTATTCACTTTGCTTACTTTTTAATAAAACTGAGAAGAAAAATTTTAGTCAGAAAAAAGGCTGAATTTATTGATTAAAATAAAATCTGGAGGTTCATTTCTTTTTCTAGACCAAATTAAAATAACCAGTCAAGAACTAATTGGATTTGAATCCTACAAAGAGAAAGACAGGCAGCCCTTTTCATCTTCACTACTCACATGGTAGTGTTGTAGAAAAGATATGGCTTCTTGTCACACGACCAGGATAACTTAGGCATGTGGACATGTTGTAGGGTGGGCAGAGCAGTGTTTATTGGTTTAAAAAAAGAAGGAAAACAGGAACCCTAAGCAAAGTGAGATAGAGTCTTGCTAGTAGGATTCTCACCTCACAGATTGAATCCCAGGTTGCCACACAGGAACAGAAGAGGCCAAGCTCCTCAACCCTGCAAACAACACAAACTTCCCAAGGCTCCATTCCATCTTCCCAGGGCGTCCTCCCAGTGCACAGGGCTGTGAGAAGCTCCAGTGACCTGTTTCCCAATAAAACTTGCAAAAATAATTTTTTTTAAAAGACAAAACAAACTTTTGGAGCCTCTCTGGAAATGGTCATAAGGGTAAATAGCAAATGAAGTAACATCTATGAACATTTCGTGAGAAAGATGAGAGTCTGTGCTAGCTGAACAAAGACCACTCCTTTCCTTTCCCCTCCAAACTAAGGCAGGTGGATATTTCTGCAACCAAGAATACAGGTCTCTCTCTTCCTTTGGCTCCTAGCTAGAGAGGTTCTTCCAGGGAGAAGCAGGAATTTATTATTCAGCCTTTAGCTGCCCTTTGCTGAGCTTAAATCCCAGGTTGGTGTGATTGAGTGGGAGCTCCATTTCTCCACCCATTTCCACTCATGGATCTGAGACCCTACCTTGAGTATGATATGCTCAGAATACTGCATCCCTGAAAGCCCTCTGCTAGTGAGATGCTAGCTTCACACTAAGAGAGTGACAAGCCCAGGGGACCCCAGAGTATGGAGTCTCTTCCCCTTCCACTTAGCTCTCAGCTTCCTAGAGTGAAGCATCACTCGGAGAAGAGCTTGCCATTGTCCCCACCTCCACTTCCAGAGCCCTGGCTCAGAAGTTTTGCTTGGGAGAAGCTGGCCATATAACAGATGACAACCTAATCTCTTCCCCAAAACTGACTTTATAAGCAATGATATGTGGAGTTTAAAAAGTACTGGTAAAGGAAATTAAGAAATTATAAAGAAACCATAAATGTATATTTTAAACCTAAGGCCACTCTGCAGTTAATAGAGGTTGGAGTAATATAAAGTTGGGAGCAGATCCATAGATCTAATGAAGATACAGCGTAGACTGTAAGCCAGCTACTTTGCAGGAGAGAGCCAGGGAATAGGGAACCTGGGAGGAACCCTTCCAGGGTTTGGACAAATATCAGACTTTTACCTCAGAAACTGTTAGGTCAAGGGAACTGAAATTTGATTAGACTGGTTTGAAGAAGATTTTATCCTCAGGCCATTGTTGAAAACAATAGAACTCTCACTGGACAGCTAACAGCTGGGAGTCAGTAGAGATGAACAGCTGGATATGGTCAGGAAAATAGGAGAGTCCTGTAAGTTCCACTCTTATCGGAGGGTAACTGTGAACATAGACCAAGTTCCATCTCCCTGAGTACAAATATCAGAGGCTGAATACTATGGAGCCGACAGGCTAGATTTAAACAACCTAGTGAGTCACTCAACAGATAAACAAATAAATAATAATTATAAGCCCCAGAGGCCTGGCAGTGCCCAGAACTACTGCTACAATATATTATCTAAAGTGTCCAGTTTCTAATAAAAAATTACAAGGCATGAAAAGAAACAAAAAAACTATGACACACCTAAATAAAAGAAGACAAGAGAAACTGCCTTTCAGAGTGACCAGATGTTGTAACTGCCCAAGGGGTTCACCTTGCCTGCTGCCTAGACAGAGCTGACTCATCAAGACAGGGGAATCGCAATAGACAAAGAATAATTCACTTAGAGCCGGCTGTGTGGGAGACCAGAGTTTTATTATTACTCAAATCAGTCTCCCTGAAAACTCAAGGATTAGAGTTTTTAAGGATAATTTTGTGGGTAAGGGGCCAGTGAGTCGGGAGTGCTGACTCGTTGGCTTAGGGATGAAATCATAGGGAGTCGAAGCCGTTCTCTTCTGCTGAGTCGGTTCCTGGGTGGGGGCCATAGAACTGGTTGGTTGTTAAGTAGCCGGTTGTTACAAATGCAAAAACCTGAAAAGACATCTCCAAAGGCCGATCTTAGGTTCACAGTAGGGAAGTTACCTTGAAGAGTAACTGGGGAAGTTGCAAATCTTATGACCTCCAGAATTATGGCTGGTAATCTTTAGAATTCCAGTTCCTCTCATCTTGATTTGGTGGCTGCTGGGCTTTCATTTGTTTTGCAAGAACAGTTTAGCCTTTTGGGAAGGGCTGCCATATAAACTAAACACTAAACTTCTTTCCAAAGCTAGTTTGGCCTACGCCCAGGAGTGGACAAGGACAGTTTAGAGGTTAGAAGCAAGATAGGGTCAACTAGGTCTGATATCGTTCACTGTCATAATTTTCTCAGTTATGGTTTTTGCAAAGGTGATTTCAATGTCAGACTAGCAGAAAATGATTTTAAAGTAGTTATCACAAATATATTCACAGAACTAAAGGGAAGCATGATTTAAAAAGTAAAGGAAGACAGGATGACAACATATCAAATAGAGAATACCACTGAAGACATACAAGTTACTAGAAATAACCAAATGAAACTTCTGAGGTTGAAAAGTTCAATAATTGCAATAAAAATAACTAAATTGGGCTCAACAGTAGATTTTATCTGGCAGACAAAGTACTGGTAAAGGAAATTAAGAAATTATAAAAGAAACCATAAATGCATATTTTTCTTCTTTCTTCTGCTAATAGATTTAATAAGGAATTGTATAAAATAACATGTATCAGCTGGGTGCGGTGGCTCACACCTGTAGTCCTAGCACTTTGGGAGGCCGAGGTGGGCAGATCACCTGAGGTCAAGAGTTCAAGACTGTCCTGGCCAACATGTTGAAACTCTGGCCCCACTAAAAATAGAAAAAATTAACTGGGTGTTGTGGCGCACGTCTGTAGTCCCAGGTACTCAGGAGTCTGAGACAGGAGAATTGCTTGAACCTGGGAAGCAGAGGTTGCAATAAGCCAAGCTTTTGCCACTGCACTCCAGCTTGAGTGAGAGAGCAGGACTCTATCTCAAAAAATAAAAAATAAAATAATAATAATCGAATGTATTGTGGAGAGTATAACAAGCATATAGAAATGTAATGCATGTAATATGTTTGCCAATAAGAGAACAAAGAAGGTGGATGGGAGCAAAGCCATATTGCCTAAGGAAAAATGATAAATGGTAAATTAATAACTATAATAATATATTGTCGGGTTTTGCCCATTGATGATAGACTGGATTGGGAAAATGTGGCACATATACACCATGGAATATTATGCAGCAATCAGAAATGATGAGTTCGTGTCGTTTGTAGGGACATGGATGAATCTGGAGAACATCATTCTCAGCAAACTGACACAAGAACAGAAAATGAAACACCGCATATTCTCACTCATAGGTGGGTGATGAAAAATGAGAACACATGGACACAGAAAGGGGAGTACTAAACACTGGGGTCTATTGGGGGGAAAAGGGGAGGGCCAGTGGGAGGGGGAGGTGGGGAGAGATAGCCTGGGGAGAAACGCCAAATGTGGGTGAAGGGGAGAAAGCAAACAGAACACACTGCCATGTGTGTACCTATGCAACTGTATTGCATGCTCTGCACATGTACCCCAAAACCTAAAATGCAATAAAAAAATAAGAAAAAAAAATATATTGTCGGGTTTTAAACATTATTAGAGCTGTATGACAATAGCACAAACAAGGAGGAAAAGGGAATAGAGAACTAAGAGAAGTAACATTATGTTACTAGAACTAAGCTAATATAAATCTGAAGCTGATTCCAATAAGTTCAGATACCTGTAGTAAACCTTAGAGCAAAGTGTTTGTGCTATTGTCATACAGCTCTAATAATGTTTAAAACCCGACAATATATTATTATAGTTATTAATTTACCATCTATCATTATTTCCTTAGGCAATATGGCTTTGCTCCCATCCACCTTCTTTGTTCTCTTTGTTCACTTAAAAAAGCCTCAAAATATATGGTAGAAAAAATAATGGAATTAAAATGCTACATTAGGAAACATTCACTCTGTGCAAAAGAAAGCAGTAAGGGAGGAATAGAGGAACAAAAAAGACAAAAGACATGGAAAACAAAGTGTAAAATGGCAGACATATCTAAATATATATTTTTAAAAGTGAATGGATAAATAACCCAATCAAAAGGTAGTTCTCACTCATAGGTGGGTGTTGAACAATGAGAACACATAGACACAGGGAGGGGAGCATCACACACTGGGTCTGTCGGGAGGAAATAGGGGAGGGACAGCGGGGGGTGGGGAGTTGGGGAGAGATAGCATGGGGAGAAATGCCAGATATAGGTGATGGGTAGGCAGGCAGCAAATCACACTGCCATGTGTGTACCTATGCAACAATCTTGCATGTTCTTCACATGTACCCCCAAACTTAAAATGCAATTAAAAAAAGGAAAAAAAGGTGGTTGTTTTCAGACTAGATAAAAAGCATAATCCAAAGCATGTCTTATGTAGATGACATATAGCAGATGAGTGTGTCTTATATAGATGACATATAATAGATGATAGTCTACTATATGTCATGTATTATGTGTCATCTACCTAAGACACACTAGTCATATCTAGTAGATGACTATATGTCATCTACATGAGACACACTTTGGGTCCAAAGACACAAAAAGATTAAAAGTGAAGGAAAGGGAAAAGACATATTATGCAAGCAGCAATCTCGAGAAAGCTTGAGTGGCTCTATTAATGTCAGACCAAATATATTTTAGAATACAAAAATCACTAAAGATAGAGACATTTGATGATGATGAAAGGATCAATTCATGAGGAAAATATAGCAATGATAAATATGTATGTCCCTAATAACAGAGTGCAAAAATACATGAAAAAATTG